TTTGCTAGCCAGATGTGGTGGTGCATGTAATCCCAGCTGCCTGGGAGGGTGAGGCAGAAGGATTTCAAGTTCAAGGTCAGCCTGGGCAACTTTAGCAGGAGCCTGTCTCAAATAAGAGCTTTGGATGTAGCTCAGTGGTAGAATACTTGCCTAGCACACGCAAGACCCTGGGTTTAATCTTCAGTACCCAAAAAAAAAGGCACCCTGACAGACACATGCAACTTAGAAAAACAGTATTTTTCTGTGTTAAGCTTAACACACTAGTAACAATGGAAATGAGATAACATGGGCTTGAAGAAAGGGTTCTTACCTCTGTGGAGCATGGATTTCTACCTGCCCACACTGCAAAAAACCCTTTATATTCTTAACACCACTCTTCTGGACCTGCTGCATGGTAAGGGAAGGGAAGGTAATGACTAAAACTACCTGCAGCATAATGTGTATTCAAAATCCAGGTTCTAGGCATAATTTCTCACTTCTCCTATGTCACACTGGTAACAGGTGCACCACGTGAAACAGCCCATGGCCTTCCACAGGTCTGGTCACACCCAAACAGAGTAGACTAGCAAGGGCCTGACCCAACTCACTGCTCACTATCTATGTGTTTGTACCGTGCATGTGTTCTCAGACGCTATAGTGGCCGTGTGCATTATTAATCTGCATAAACAATTCAACTTGTCTAATACTTTCCTTTGGAATTCAACCTACATAGATAAATGTAAGACCTGTTGTTACTCCTGGCTGAATAGCACACTATTCCCTGATGTATAACCATATACCTTAAAATATCTTTCCAGGTTAAGGCACTTCCGTTTCCTACAATGTTTGCTTTGTCAAACAATGAAGAGATGAACATCCTTACCTAGGTTTCCTGTAGGCAACATTTGGTGTTGTTTTAATAAAACCAGGAGAGAAACTGACAGGTCATATCTTCAACTCCACAAAGCTGAATGAGGGTTGTACCCAGCTGACAGTCCCATCAGTAGCGTGTGACTGAGGCAGGACCCCCACATCTGTGGCTGTACTTAGTATGATCATTCCCAGGTTTTAATTTGGATTTCCCTGAGCACTGCTAGAATCAACGTCTCATATGTCAATTAAAGATTGGGGGTTTCCCTTCTGTAACATCTATTTCCATCCCTTTTGTTCAGTTTGCGATTTGGTTTTTGATCTCTTTCATGAGAATTTAAGAAATTTAAGTATTTAAGATGTTAGCTTCAGATGTTGCAATTTTTTCTCCCAATCCACCACCAATTTAGTTTTTTGTTTATGTTTGTTGTTGTTGTTGATGTTTGTCTATGAGTTTTTTTCCCCCCTTGGATTCAAATCTTTAAAGCTGATGTGTCAAGATAAGCATTTTTCTTCTTCTGGTTGGTGCTTTTTAGGGTCATGTCTATGACATTGCCTTCCATTCTGAAGACATGAAAATATTCACCTACATCCATTTACAGTGGTACCTCGGTTCACAAACTTAATTCTGTGATTCTGGTTGCAAACTGAATTGGACAAGAACTGAGTCAAATTTCCCTATAAGGTCAACATATGAATTTGCCTATTTTGTACATTTCATATTAATGGAATAATATGATATATGGCTTTTTGTGTCAGGTTTCTTTCAAATAGCATAATTTTTTGACATCCATCCATGTACCAGAGCTTTATTCCTTTTTATGGCTGAACAGTATTCTACTCTGTGGATAGACCACATTTGTTTATTCATTCATCCAATTATAGATATTTGGGTTATTTCTGTTTTTTGCTATTATGAATAATGCTCCTGTGTAAAAGGTTTTTTTGTGGGAACATATGTCTTCAACTCCCCTGGAATAGAACTGCTGCATCATATGCTAACCCTGCATTTAACTTTATGAGGAACTGCCAAATTATTTTCCAAAACAGCTGCAACATTTTACATCCTTATCAACAATGTATGACAGGTCTAATTTCTCCATATCCTTGCTAACACTTGCTGTTTGTTTTTTAATTATAGCCATTCTAGTAGGTGAGTTGTGGTGTATCGTTGAAATATTTTTCTTTGTAGTGTGGAGATCAACTCCAGAGCCTCACACATGCTAAGCAAGTGCTTCCTAACTGAGCTATACCCTCAGCCTTTCATGACTTTGATTTGCATTTTCTGAATGGCCAGTGATCTTGAGCATATTTTCATGTGTCCCTTGGCTACTTATACATCTTCTTTGGAAAAATGTTTTTTTAGAGACTCCCCATTTTAAATTAGGTTATTTCTATTTTTATTGTTATGACTTAATCACCTTAATCTCTGCTGTAGCTACTAATATTATTTATCTTCTCTCCCTTTATTGTTGTTCTTGTCTGAGCAATCTTGTCAGAACATATTCTGATGGTTAATTTAAAAAATGTTCTGATGGTTAGCTTAGCTTGGACCCATCTGCCCAGATTTGTGGTCAGATATTATTGCGGCTGTCCCTCTGAGCGATTTTTTGGAGGGAGTTAACATTTACATTGGTGGACTTTGAGTTAAGCAGACTGACCTCCATAATGTGTGTGGGCCTCACCAAATAGTCAAAGGCCCAAAAAGAACAAAAGAGTAACTTTCCTCAGCAAGGCAGCCACGGATACCTTTGGACTTGAGCTGTAACATCGCCTATCCCTGGGTTTCCAGCTTGCTGGCCTGTAGATTTTGAACTTGCCAACCATGTGAACCAATCTTTAAAATAAGTCTATGAGTTTTACTCCTTTGCAGAACTCTAATACACTTAATTCTATATTTCTAAAGACTTACTTTTGACTTTCTTGATTATCTTTACTGAATATTTGGTTTCTATTTGACTAATTTGGCTATGTCCCTATTATTTTATTATGTTTCCTTCTACTTTCTTCAGATTTATTCTCTTGGTTACACAACTGCCTAATTTTCAGTCTTTCCTCTTTATTTATGTCAGTGTTAAAGCCCAACAGTTCAGCCATCAGCCTCCAGAGGATTCTAGCTAGATATTCCACAAGCAGATCAACTCCAAGTGTCCAGTACCAAGTTCCTCCACTTCCTTAATGCTCTTTTTCCCAAGCATGCTGTCTCAGTGACCAAACCTATCACTCACTCAGTCTCCTAATCTCAAAACCTTAATCCTTCCCCAACAGGTACCTTTACTTAGTCGTCACTTCCTGTTTTTCCTACCTCAGATACCTCAGCCTACCCATTGATCCTTATATCTTGTTCCCTTCTTTCCCTCACATATCACCTTTTAAATTTTATTTGTGTGGGGGGGGTATTGATTGGTGATGAAACTCAGGGCCTTGTGCATGTTAGGCAAGTGTGCTACCACAGCCATATTCCAGGTCCGTGTGCCACCTCTCTAAAACAGGAATCTGACCCTATCATTTCATTCCTTAAAGACTTTTCCTGCATCTCATTTACATCTTCACTGTCTCTCCTACACTGACCAGTCTTCCTCCATCTTAAGACATATGGATGAACCACACAGATATGGAGACTTTCTTTTCCCTTCGATTTAACTTTGTCTAGTCTCTCATTTTTTATCATTTTTTTTTCATCTGGCTCATTCCTTTCATTTCATTTTCTATGCTGATGCTACATTTCTTTTTCTTCTAAAATAAAAACCTGGATGGTACTAAATAACACTGGTGTGGGGTTTTTAAAAAAACTAAAACAAGTCTCTCCTTTTTTCTTTTTACATAGACTCTATAAACCTTCCTATGCCTCTCTGTCTTTGAAAATAATTTTTTTCTTTTTTCTCTTCCTCTAATTTCTTCTCTATTATCATTTTCTCCCATCAGACATTTCCATAGCATGACAAGAAGTAAATTTCTTGGTTGACTCTTGAGGTTTTCAATGGTTTTGTGGTTTCCATTCTTATCTAATTCACAGGCACTATTCCTTTCCTACAATCCCCTGAGCCTGTTTTTCATACTCTGCTGGGTGGTTAATGGCTTCTGGTTTGCTATTTATTGCTTCTAATTAACTACTTGGATCACAGCCTTCTGGTATCAGTTTAGTATTTGATTCCTTCAAGTTTTAACCATAAACTGCCGCTTCATCTCTGCAAACTCCTGCATTCACTTCTTTCTGGACTGGCGGAATCACTATTTCTACTAATCAGAGCCCTACAATGAAGGAAGTGGAAATGTACGTATAAAGTTTCACACTCACGTGAATGCAGCTTTTGCAGCAGCACTCTGCTACTGAGAACCTGTAGTTCCTAACTGCCTACACCATCAATTCCAAACTCAAGTTTTTTCATAAAAATACCCAATTCCACTACCCAGCATATTGTCAACAGGGACCCTCAACTTTAGGTAGAATGGACACCTCCCTTGCACCATCTTATCCATAGTCAGTCAGCAAATGCACACAGTTCTCTGGTACTTTCTAGCTGTGTGTCCTCAGCTACAATATTTAAATTATCTGTGGGGCAGTTCCCTTAACTTTAAAGTGAAGATAATAGTAGTATCTAACTCACAGGGGTGCTGCAAGGATTAATGTGGATAAAGTATCTGAAAACAGTGTCTGGCACTTAGTAAATATTTATGAAAAGTTAGCGCCAATGAGCTAGACTCATGCAAGATTGCAGTACAGAGATAAGCCAACACTCAACTCAGTTGTCTGTTTTCCACAGAACCCTCAGGAGAGGGTATTTGCCCATAATCGAAGGGTGATTTGTTTGCCATTCTGGGCTGAAAATCTGAAGGGAAAGAGATATGAATAGTAATATTCAAGCACTAAGATCCATGCAAACTGAAAGCGTGCTGTGGGAGAACACCCTTGTCTAGCAGCACGGGGCAGGGGGAGGAGAAAATCAGAAACGTCCCCTTGGAAGAAGTGACATTGGAACTGGGACTATGGGACATGAGTAGAGACTGACAGCGGATATCCCCAGAATTCTGAAAACTCACATAGTGAATGCAGTACATAATTTAAATTTGGAAAGTGAACACAGTGTGTCGGGGGCCAGGGATAGACCAGGGACAGCAAACCAGCCAGGGCAGAGCCTCTGGATTTGGAGGTCTTGAGCAATCTGGACATTGGAGAAATAATCTCTGGACAGGATATGTAAAGGTCAGTGGGCTCTCCGCAAGTGGCATGGAAATCCCTATCCCTACCCCTGTTTTTCTGTTTTTCTTTTCTGGTTTCATACTTATCAAGCCAGCTCTTCATTAAAAACTCAGTTTGGGGCTGGGGGTGTAGTTCAGTGGTAGAGCACTCACCTAGCACGTGGCAGGCCTTGTGTTCAATCCTCAGCACCACAAAAACAAAAGCAAATAAAACAAAAATTCCATGAAACTCAGTTTCCTGGCTACTTAGAACCCGGAAAAGAAGAACCCTGCAGAGAGGAAGCCGGGATGCCGATCACTAGAGAAGCACATTTGGATTGATGATTTTCACCTGCCACTCCCTTCCCCACTGCCTCTGTGCTAGGCAGGGTCACCCCTGGCCTCTCCTCTCCTGAGTCCACCAACTACCTTGAGCCTTCACGCTGTTAGTCCTCACCATGGTGTGGGACAACGATTCCTGACACTTTCTTCTCCTTTGCCTCCGGGAACACCCTCTCCAGGCTCTGCCCCTCCCTTTCTGGCTGGCCCTTCTCCACTCCCCCTTTCACACATCTTCACTGAGGACTTTGGAGAGCCTCAAGAAAGTCCTATCCAAGTTTCAGAGGTGCTGCCCCACAGGCATCCCCACCGGCACCCACCGCCTGGGAGTATGAGCCGAGCTCAAAAAAAGTACAACAGAGGAGAGGGCAAAAGAAGAATGGGTGTGCAAGCTCAGGGTAGGGGAAAAGAAGGGTGAGAGATGGTACTGAAGTCAGGCCAGAAAGAAAACTCCAGATATGGAGCTGAAGCTTCTTCTGGGGAGCAGATGGAAACTACCACAGGTTTTTAAAGCTGGGCGTGGCGATGCATGCCTGTAACCTCAGTACCCTGGGAGGCTGAGGCAGGAAGACTGCGCATTCAAGCCCCGTCTGGGCAATTTAGTGACTTAGCAAGACCCTATCTCAAAATAAAAAAGGGTTGGAGATGTAGCTCAGTGCGAAGGCCCTGGGTTCAATCCCCACTACTACTAAGAAACCAAAAAAGAAAGAAAGGAAGACAGGAAGGGAGGGAGGGAGGCAGAATGACAGAGAGAGAGAGAGAGAGGGAGAGGGAGAAAGAGGGAAAGGAAACCAGCAGGATTAGGTTAGAGGTGGGGTTTAGGAAGGTTAAGTGCCATATATGCAGATCGGGTAGGCGGGGAAAGCAGATAAACCAGGGATCTGTACACACATATTATATCCCTGCCACTAGCTTCTGGTCACCTCACCAGTGTCCTCCCTCTCCCATCCCACCAGTCTCTGACTTCTACAAAGCTGTCCCTGGTGGCTAAGTTCATAAAACTGCCTGCACTATACAAGCAACTGTTCATTCTCTCTGTATGTGCAAACCGACAAATAGAATCTGAGCTTTTTCTCTTCATTTATTAGGTACGTGCGCCGATCAGAATATGAACTCTCCCGTCACATTTAAGTCACCTGGCTGGACTAAGCTGGCGGTGTGCAGAAGAAATATGCATTAGATGCTCTCAGAAATAGATTCTGGAATATTTATCCTTTTCCAGTGTGACAGTTTCTGCTTCTGCTTATTGCCCTCCGGCCCCCATGGCCCATTCACCCCTTCTTCCTAACCCCATGGCTGCCCAGCAAGAGGACTACACTTCCTAGCTTCCCATGAAGCCAAGCCATGCGCTTCTGTTCTTGACAAATGACACAAGCAGCGCGATCGTGCAGCCAGCCTAAAAGGCAACTAACTGCTCACCCTGAACTTCTCCTTTCCTGCCCACTGTCGTGAACAAGGTCACACGAGGAACCCGGAATTCTACTGCCCAGATGAGGACAAAGCTGTGGGGGATGGTGGAAGGCCAAGAGGGGAGGAACCTGGACCCCTGAATGATCCTGTGGAACCAAGCTGCCTCATCAGCCCAGACCAGCCAGGCTCTTTGCTGGGAAAAAAACAATCTTATGTAAGACACTATGTTGGAGTCTCTGTTTCAGCATTGAAGCCTGTGCCTAACCAATACATTTTCCTGAAGCTATTCTCTATCTTCCTTAATATAATAATTCCAATTTTTTAGTTGGGTATGCATATCTCGGCTAAAAACCCTCTGTTTCTAGCTTTCTGTAAACCTATGTGTGACCGTAGGTCTAAGCAAGTAGAACCGTTATATGAAACTTCTGAGTAATCTTATAAAGTAGTCAGTGTCCTTCTGTTTCCCTCTTTCCCACTATCTGGAATGTGAATGCAATGGCTCCCACAGTTATTTGGGACTACAGTGGACCCTCAAGTTACAACTGGCCTCACATACAAAGTTGGGTTACAACCATAATTTTAGCTTTAACTTAAGATCAAAGTCTTGAGTTACAACCTAAATGCCAGCTGCTTGGGCTTCCACATGGGCTCAGATAAAGATTTAACCCAGGGGCCAAGGATTTAGCTCAGTGATTTCTCTGCCTGCCTTCAACAGTTCTGGAAGGAACATTACAACGTCCTTTCCTGTGTGGGGTTAATTGAGAAAGCCTGGGCTAATGTCTCTGTCTCTGTCTCTCTCTCTCTCTCTCTCTCTCTCTCTCTCTCTCTCTCTCTCTCTAAGGACACTGGGATCTGCCTGTATACAGGAGAGAGACCTTAAAGGCTGAGTAGAGGAGCCTAGGCCTTCAATTGATCAACTTGAGTTACAAACAGCCCTCAGGAACGAATTGAGTGCATAAGACCAGGGTCCACTGCACATACTCTGAAAAAGCAGAATGGGACCCAGGGTCTGTGAAGGCCATGGAGCCGCCATACCACTTCTGTATTTCCTAGTTCTAGATTTCTTTACATGAGAGGGAAATTTTTGTTATATCAGTGTTATGAACATTTGTACGTTGTATAGAGGCAAAGCTAATCCTAACCAACAGATACATACAAGCAGGTATCAACATTTCAAACCCCAGACTGATTCTTGGATCTCCCTCTTAGCAGAAGAAAAGGAAGATCACTACTTCCCAAAGTTCCAGAAATACGACAGGACTCTCCATTCCTTTTGAAAATTTTGTGGTCACTGAAGCAGTCCTACAGGGAGGCCGGTGACAGATAATCACCCCCCCCCCAGTAGCTGGACCTACGTGGCCCCAAGAATGGCGGCTCACACTAGGGGTCCGTACCGTGTGTGCGGTGACAGAGCAGAGTGGGTTGGCAGTGGGAAGGGAGATGTGACCCAGCTCTGGTGCCAGGGCAGTGAGCACCAACAGAGCGCTAAGAAGATGGGGCGCTGCCGCAAATGTAGGTCATCTCTCTGCACTTTGTTCCCCCCCCCCAGCTGCCCTGGTCTCCCACACCCCAGGCCAGATGGCGCCTCCTCCCCTGCAGGACAGATGGAAGCCAGAC